ATAGCGTGAACCCGGGAGGCGGAGCTTGCAGTGAGCTGAGATTGCGCCACTGCACTCCAGCCTGGGCGACAGAGTGAGACTCTGGCTCAAAAAAAAAAAAAGCGGGGGGAGGAAACCGAGGCTCACAGGGCGTCAAATCGCTGTTCTGAGCCAGAAGCAGCATAGAAGCCTCAGACCTGGGCTTTCCCCTCAAGGGGAAGACAGACCAGCAGAAGAAGAGGGGGCCCAGGGTGTGCCTGAATGGGGCCAGGAGGTTGAGGTGAGGATGAGAGGGGGAGGAGCGGGGAAACCGAGCAAGCCCCGCTCCCATACCTGCCAGGAAAGTGACCAGCAACGCAGCCCACAGAACCTTCATCTTCCTGCCTGTGATTGGCCAGTCTGGGGAGGGAGAAACTGTCAATCAACCGCCAGTGAGGACTCCTCCCACCCCCAGCCCGACCCCAACCCGGCCCCACCCCAGGTTAGCCTTCCAAGCCTTGCTCCATTATCTGCAACAGCCTAATCCCAGCACAAACAGTTACCAAGCCGCCCCCAACCCATTCCCTATTTATCTCCCTCTTGGTCTTCTCTTATTTCCCCATCCCCAGGTCGGCCTCCATAGCCAAAATTCCATCTTTCTCTCCCGGGGTTCAAATTCCACACCCCCTCCCCCTCCCCACCGCCGGTTCCATCTCAGTCCCAGTCTCGCATTCCTCATTCTCCCTTCACATTCTAAGCTCTAACCTCACATTTAAGCGCCGTTTTCTATTTATGAGCTAATTCAGTCCTCATTTTAAAGTTCTCCAATCGACGGCTAGCTACCGTGTCGCTGCCCCTGGCTTCCCAGTTATGGAGATCTGAGGACACTGGGGACACCCAGTAGGTGCTCGATAAATGACAGTGACAACTCGTGGGGGTCCTGCTGTGGCTTAGCTCCTAGTCCACATGCTCTCCCCACCCCACCTTCTAGCGGGTCGGGTCGTCTCTGCTGCCCAGCCCTTCCCAGGTCCAGTCCCCTGCTGCTGGCCTCACCCCCGCTCCTCCTCTCCCCAAGCCCGACCTCGAGTAGCTCTCCTGAGACTACCTGGAGGCCAGGGCTTCCCGAGGTCCCAGCTACATCTTTCTAGAGGCCCCTGAGCTCATCCCCGTGCCCCCGACTGCGCTTCTCACCGGCTCCTGGGGAAGGACGTCCTTCACCTCCGCTGGGGCTGAGTAGGACTCAAGGATCCCAGACTTGTCCAATTATAGGGCTCCCCCTGTCCCGCCCCCTCCTCCAGGGATAGGGCGGGCTGGGCCAGCCCCCAGTCACGAGGTGGGCTGTTCTCCCCCTGCCCCAGGCACAGCAGGGCAGAGGGAGGAGGTGGGGCATAGAGGCCTTTTGACCACCCCCCACAGTCCCCAGGAAGTGAGGACACCTCGCCCAGTAATCCAGACACCCTCCTCCATTCTGGGGGCCAAGCGTGGAAGGGGAATGTGCAGGCTGCCGCCCAGAGTCCTCTTTCCCTGACCCTGTCCTTTCCTGTGCCTGGATGAATGCAATCTGGAGAGGGGGCTGGGGATCTGGACTCCTGGATCCCAGAAAGAAAGTAGGGCTAGGGGGCTGGACAGAAGTGGGATGGGAGGGGCTGGGCGCGGTAGCTCACGCCTGTAATCCCAGCACTTTGGGAGGCCACGGTGGGCGGAACACTTAAGGTCAGGAGTTTGAGACCGGCCTGGCCAACATGGTGAAACCCCATCACTACTAAAAATACAAAAATTAGCCAGGCGTGGTGGCGGGCGCATGTAATCCTAGCTACTTGGGAGGCTGAGGCAGGAGAATCACTTGAACCCGGGAGGTGGAAGTTACAGTGAGCCGAAGTCTCGCCACTGCACTCCAGCCTGAGCAAGAGTGATGCTTTCTAAAAAGAAAAACAAAAAAAGAAAAAGAAAAAAGAAAAGAAAGTGGGGCTAGGCGACTGGACAGAAGTGGGATGGGAGGGGGGTGGGAACAGTGTGGTGCATCTGCTAAAAGTCTAGGCTTTGCGAGTGGGACCTGGGTTTTAATCATAGCTTCCTCTTCGGTTGTGACCTTGAGCACAGGGGACCCACCCCTCCCCACGTGTAAAATGAGATTCCAGCACCTCCCCCTGGCTGCCACAGGCATTGTGGTTTCCAGGGTCTTGAAGCTGTGCTTCTGGGTTAAGGTTAGGATTCTGGAGTCAAACTGCCAGGGCTTGAATCCTGACTCTGCCAGTTGCCAGCTGTGTGACCTTGGGCAAATGACTTGTCCTCTCTGAGCATCGGGTTCCTTTGCTCATCAGACTGGGAAAGCAGTGGCACGGATATGTTTGGTGACAAGCTAACGTGTATTGAGCACGGAGGACAGCCTTGGCACAGTGGTCCTGTTAGGGCTAGCAAGGGACAGGCCACAGTGAGCGCTCAGATGCTGTCACTTTCCTAACAACCCTGTTATAAATCCCAGATGTTTCAGAGGAGAAACCCACGGTTCAGCAGCGAGATGAATGGCAAAGTCACACATCGAGAACTGGAGTGGGTGGGATCAGAGGATTCGGCGAGTCAGGGGAGGCTGGACTCCTGGTCCCGGGAAGGAACCCCCAGTGCCGGGCCGGGCCTGTTTGCTTTGGCTGGCAGGGGGTGGCTGAGGTGGCTTCTGTGGGTAACTTGGGGTCAGCTCTACTCAGCAGCCTCCCTCCCTAGACCCTGGGGGTAGACAGGGTTTCAGTTCCCGGAGGCTCAGGAGTGGTGCTGGTGGTGTTGGGTGTCAGCTGACACCAGCCCTAGGTTGGCAAAATCCAGACAGCACCACATCCTCAGACATAGGTGACCCAACCCCCATGGCTGCATAAGGAGCCTAGTCTGGCCTAGGCCCCTCCTCTCACGCCTGCAAGTCCTTGAGCCCCTTCTTCCCGACACAGCAGTTCCTAGTACCCTAGTTGTTCTGAAGCTGTTCCAGTAGCTTGAACCTTCTCCCGGCTCCCTGCCCCCATGTCTGCACTCAGAGAGTGTCATCTCTGCTGCTGCAGTTTGCAGGGACAAAGTCTTCTTTCTATAGCCACTCCGGCCAGGTCAAGCTGGGGCGAGTGACCTTGAGACCCTACCCTCGGACAACAGAAGGCCCGAGGTGTCCCCGAGCAGGGCAGATGTTCCGGATGGGGAGACTGCGATCCCGGTCAACGCTGCGCCCCTCTGAGCCGGACTCAATGCAGCGTAAAGCCAGGCAGTGGTGCGGCTCCGCTGCTTTCCGTGCTCCTGCCCTCTGGCGCCCCCTGCAGGCGGCTGGGGGAAGGTCAGGGCGGCCGGACTCCGGATGAAATGCTCCAAACAGGCCAGGCACACTTGAGAAAACGGAGGCCTCCCATCTTTTTTTTTTTCCCACGTATATTTTTTGTTGTTTTTTGTTTTTTTCTGTAAAATGTCCCGGTTCTTCCATAACTTATAAACATGATTTATACCGAGGAGTAGATGGGAAAGTGGACAGGGCAGGGTGGACTGACAGGGGATGGGGAAGCTCCTCTCGCTGCCCCCTCGGGGCGGGCCCAGGCCCTTTGGAGGATGGGGACGCCAGGACACTCCTCCCTGAGGTTGTCTGGCCGCCTCTGCCCCTGGTGCTCAGAATCCTGCGTGCCCCTCAATTCCGGAATCCTTCCCGGGACCCCAGGCCCACTGGGCACGCTGCCCCTAGTACTCAGAATCCCGAAGCGCCATTCGGTTCCAGAATCCCCCCCTCAGCTGCTGGGGTGGCGGGGTCCCTCCTTTCCGATGTCCCCCCCGACCCCCAAGGGGGGAGGGAAGGGAGGGGGGCTCAGGTCTCCCCTCTGTGGCAGGGGGAGGTGGAGGTGGAGGTGGAATTGGAAGGGCGTGGAAGGCGGGGGCCAGGAGGGCTCAGCCGATGGTGAGGCCAAAGCCACACTGGAACTTGTTCTTGCGGTGATTCAGGAAGGCCCCGAGGGCCAGTGTCAGGGGCAGGGGTGGGAGCTTCTTCTCCAGCGTGGCACCCACGATCCAGTTGCTGTCCACAGAGCCTGCAGGGAAGAGCTGAGGTGAGAGGCATGCCAGCTTCCCACCATATCCATGCAGAGTTCCTGGCCACCCTAGATACCAGTCACATGCTGACGGCTTCCAGACCTCCAACCAGACCGCTCCTGCCACCCAGAAACCCCATCACACCCCCAACAACTTCACGCTGCAGCAAATGGCTCACTCCTCCTCTGCTCTCCGCTCAGTGACCCCTGCCCTCTGAAAAGCCCTCCAGACCCCTGGGTTCCCCCAACCTAGTCCTGCCCACTCTGGGGATGGATCTGTTCCTCCCACTGAGTTCGGTGAAGACAGGGCTGGTCACCGCTGTGTACCCAGCAGTGCTCAGCAGGAGGCTCAAACACCCAAAAGTCTGTGAGCCACAGATATCCAAGAAGACTTAAGACTGGACATTGGGACTATGGCCAGTGAGCCTGAGATGAGGTTCTGGATTTGGCTGTGACCTTGAAACCTCTGGAAGCCTCCATTTCCACTAATGTAAGATGAATGGGGCAAGGCTGGATGCTTCCAAAGTGCCTTCTACCCTGGCTGGGTGTGGTGACTCATACCTATAATCCCAGCACTTTGGGAGGCCAAGGCTTGAGTCCAGGAGTTCGAGACCAGCCTGGGCAACATGGTGAAACCCCGTCTCTCCCCAGAAATTCAAAAAAATTAGCCGGGCCTGGTGGCATGCACCTGTGTTCCTAGCTACTCAGGAGACTGAGGTGGGAAGACTGCTTGAGCCAGGGAGGTGGCGGCTGCAGTGAGCTGCAATTGCACTGCTACACTCTAGCTTGGGTGACAGAGGGAGATCAGTCTCAGAAAAATAAGAGGGTCAAGTGCAGAAAAATAAGAGGGGATGGGCAAAGCTCCAGCTCGGTCCAAGCACTCATCAGATGCTCCACCAAAATTTTTTTAAACATTTATTTATTTCATTTTATTATTATTTTTTTATTTTATTATTATTATTTTATCTTTTTATTTTTTCATTTCATTTTATTGTTTTTGGGTCTCGCTCTGTCGCCCAGGCTGGAGTGCAGTGGTGCAATCTTGTCTCTCTGCAACCTCCGCCTCCCAGATTCAAGTGATTCTTGTGCCTCAGCCTCCCGAATAGCTGGGACTACAGCTGCAGCACACTACCTAATCTTTGTACTTTTAGTAGAGAGGGGGGTTTCACTATGTTGGCCAGGCTGGTCTCCAACTCCTGGCCTCAAGTATTCTACCTGGCTTGACCTCCCAAAATGCTGGGATTATAGGCGTGAGCCACCATGTCTGGCCACTCCAGCCACTTTTTTTCCCAAGCATAAAACATAGTAGAGGGTCGTCCACCTACTTTTTTTTTTTTTTTTTTTGAGACGGAGTCTTGCTCTGTTGCCCAGAGTGCGGTAGCGCCATCTCGGCTCACTGCAAGTTCTGCCTCCTGGGTTCATGCCATTCTCCCACCTCAGCCTCCTGAGTAGTTGGGACTACAAGCACCCGCCACCATGCCCGGCTAATTTTTTTTTTTGAGACAGAGTCTGGCTCTGTCGCCCAGGCTGGAGTGCAGTGGCGCGATCTCAGCTCACTGCAACCTCCGCCTCCTGGGTTCTTGCTATTCTCCTGGCCTCAGCCTCTGCGTCTGGGACCACAGACGCCCGCCACCATGCCCGGCTAATTTTTTTTTGTATTTTTAGTAAAGACGGGGTTTCACTGTGTTAGCCAGGGTGGTCTCAATCTCCTGACCTTGTGATCCGCCTGCCTCGGCCTCCAAAAGTGCTGGGATTACAGGTGTGAGCCTCCACACCCGGCCCCACCTACTTTTTAACAAGTGTTCCCTGGTAATGTGGAGGCCCACAGGGTCGCAGCACACCATCCTCCAGCACCTGTGGTGGCCCACACACCCAGAGTTGAGTCACCTCTCGCCTGTTTCCCACATAGGGAAACCGAGACCTTTACCTTTGAAGAGGAGGTTGGCCTTGGGCAGGTCC